AGTCACACAAGACCATTTTGAGGCTTTCTTTATGCTCTTCAACACCCCCAACTAGATGCCCCTGGAAGGCAGGGCTCATGACTTGTGTGTATGGAGGAGAGACTATTCCATAATGTGACCACTGCCTGACTACCACCGGATCCGCCAGCTAGATCCTGGCTGGAACAGAGATTGCCTCTCGAAACTTCCCTCAGAGACTGTCTGATGGACCCTCCCCTAGGCCCAAGGTGGGCTGCTGGTTCCTTGAACAGACTGTTGCCCAGCCCCAAGCAAGTATGTTAGTCATTTTCCCCTCGTCAGTTCCCCATCCATCCTGCCCTGATCTATGTAATCCCTTATCACCTGCCCCGTGGATGTCCATGGTATCTTGCCACCACCCAAGACATGCCTCCTACGTAAGTTCCTTTAATAAACTCTTGACACAATGTTAGAATTGTTGGCCTCTTTCTGGGTCTGTGGGCCCAGGAAATTTACATAACAATGCCCTTCTCCAAATAATGTCTGTGGTTGCTGCTGCTAACAATAGAAGACCAGGCTTTCCAACCTCTATTTCTTTTACTCTGCATCCAGGCCACCACAGAGCTGACCACTTTGATCTTTTGCACCAGTGACTCTCACCTCAGATCTGTACTTAGAAATGGCATGGAGATGATTTCACTCTTGAATCTTGCCCTGGGTGCTTTGTGCAGGGCTCTTTTGGCCCATCTCCTCTTGGACCAAGAGGAGAGGTTACTGATGGAAGCAGCATCTTTTGTAATAGCCAAACTGGCAGCTGCATGAAGACTTCTCCTGTTTGTTGGAGTGGAATATATTTCTGAGATCAACAGGGACTCTTGTGTTACTGATCCCCCACACGGAGATTACAATGGATTTTCTTATACCATCCAATGAAGACAAGATACCAGCTGCCCAAACTCGAGGACCACACTATGGGGTCTGGTCTGCCAAGAACAGTGGGTATTGGCCTGAAATGGTGTGTTGGAGAAGCACTGCAGTCAGACATATGCATGGGTATTTGCTCTTGTTCTGCTGCATTGATTGATCAGAATAAAACCTGCAAAATACTGTCCTGGCTGGTGTGCTCATTGGTTAGAGAATCGGCCCAAGCACTGAAGGGTCTTGGGTTTGATTCCCGGTCAAGGGCACGTGCCTGGGTGGCAGGTTTGATCCCTGGCCCCGGTCAGGGCACGTGCGATCACTCTCTCTCTCTCTCTTTCTCTCTCTCTCTCCCTTTCTTTCACCCTCTCTAAAAATCAATGGAAAAAATATCCTTGGTGAAGATAAACAACAAAAAAAACCTGCAAAATGCTTAAGTGGTCTTCACCTTTGATTTTATTGGAAAACACCATGGTTGACCCTATCTGGAACCCCTAAGAGATGCTCAGAAAAGCTTTGCTTTCTCTGCAAAATTAACTCACAGACCCATAAAGGCAAAGGAGGAGAGCCACACCAGCCAGGGCAGTCCCATCTAATGAAGAACACTCACTTGTTAGTTCGGTTATCTGTCGTGTTTCAAAAGTTATTACAAATGAATTTTGTTTCACTGTTAAAAGTATCAGGGTAAAAATAAAACGCTTGCCTCCATAGTCAAGCATTTTGAGCTCAGGCAGCGTTGTTCTCCATTGGCACTACTTGGACGGTTCAGAGTAATTGGGCTGCCTAAGTTCCGGTCTCATGTTGAAAATCAGTCACCTAACTTTGTGGTTGTAACTTTCATATTTGTATGTATTTTTAGATTTTGAAGATTCAATCCAAGTGAGTTAAGCCATTGAAGCTCACAGGTTGGTCAAACTATCTGATTATCTCCCTTAGAACAAATTAATAATACAGGTATCCCCTGTTTTTCGAAAGTTTGAGTTACATGACTTCACTTTCTTTTAAAATGTTTTTTTTATTGATTTTTAGAGAGAAGAAGGGAGAGGGAGAGAGAGAAACATTGATCCGCTGCAAGCACGCCCCCTACTGGGGATGGAGCCCACAACCTAGGCCTGTGCCCTGACCCAAACCAGTGACCTTTTGGTGCACGGCACAACACCCAACCAACCGTCCAGGGCAGCACCACTGCACTTCTACGAAAGACCTACATTAGCACCTGTTTTCACTCACTGAAAGAAATCTGAAGAGGATTTTCGCTTTTATGAAAAAAGGCAAAAAGCCAAAATAGGGTTTAGTGTTTGTTTTGCAGCAGCCATTGTAGAGGCAGGATGCACCCCAAGCAGCGAGAAGGGCCCCACCAAACTCCTTCCCCAGGAACTACACTCAGCTTCTCAGCATCAAGCCGCCAGAGTTTTTAACTGTGTCTGTGAGCATCTCTGCTTTGTCTCCACTTATTTTGTGCATCTGTTAGCAAGAGGTGTCCTATCAGAAAAGCCAAAGAGAGCTCGTAAAGGTGTTATGCTAGCATAAGACTGGGCGTGATTAAGTGTATTTGGTACGGTTTGATTGGTTATTTGGGGGGGGGGGGGTCTGGGGATGTTAAAAAATGCTTCCAAATAAATTAATGGCATTTGCTTCTGTGCTTTACTCCATTTCAGCTGTACTTTTGGACAGCGGGGGAAACCTGTAATTGCTTTCACTTATTGAATGATTCCTAACATACATCATATCTCACTTTACATTCATTATATCTAAACCTTAAAATATCCCATGGTATTAGCTAGGGTTCTCAAGAGAAGCAGAACCAATGGGATGTTGAAGGTTCCAGAATGCACCACAGTGGCACAAAAGTTATTCTTAGCAGAGGGCATTTGAGGGTCAGTGGATGCGTATCTGCATAAAAGTAGAGCCTCTCAAAAAACTCACTTGTGAATCATCTCTCCGGGAATTTCAGGGAAGACTGACTGACTTATCACCAGTGACAGAAATTAGCAGTATTGTCCCAAAACCATCGTATCTGCCATCTATTCTCCTAAGGGCCCATTTATTTTTCCTAAGAAGCGTTTGTTCTCCCCGGTGCCCTCCCCACCTCCTCCAGTGCTAAGATGTCCTTTGTTTGCTACCGATCCTTGTCCTCCTCCCCTTCGCAATTAAGGCGGGATATAAGCCCCCAATTCTAACCACCTCCTGGTCACATTTTTGTGTGAACTGGGTATGCACATGAATAAAAATCTGCCTTTCCCTAGTTTAATTTGCAGGTCTCCATTCTTGAACCTAAGAGGGTAGAGAAACTTCTTTTGTTCTCCCTGATGATGGGTTCACGCTGTCGTGGAGGCTTGGCTAGTCCAGACTCTTTAGGGTAGATTATTAGGCTGGAGTCCCAGGGAAGAGCTGCAGTTCAAGTCCAAAGTGGTTTTCTAGGAGAATTCTCTTTTCCAAGGAATGCCAGTCTTTTTTTTTTTTTATCCTCACCTGAGGACATTTTTCCATTTTTTGTTCAGATAGAATGGGAGGGAGAAAGAGAGAGAGAGAGAGAGAAACATCAATGTGAAAGGAACACATCGAGTGGCTGCCACCCGCATAACCCAACCAGGGCTGAGGACAAACTGCAACCGAGGTACGTGCCCTTAGTGGGAACCACACCCAGGACTCTCTGGACTGCAGGCCGACACTAACCGCTGAGCCAAACTGGCCAGGGCTGCCAGTCTGTTTTTTTATTAAGGCTCTTTGAACTAATTGGATGAGGCCCATCCACATTATGAAGAACAATCTACTGTACTGACAGCCTACTGAGTTATATGTTAATCTCATTAAAATACCTGCACAAAAACATCTTTTTTTTTATCCTCACCCGAGGACATTTTTCCATTTTTTGTTCCGATAGAGTGAGAGGGAGAGAGAGGAAGAGAGAGAGAGAGAGAAACATCGATGTGAAAGGGACACATCGAGTGGCTGCCACCTGCACGACTCCAACGAGGGCTGGGGACAAACTGCAACCGAGGTAGGTGCCTAGGTGCCCTTAGCAGGAACCGAACCCAGGTCTCTCTGGACCACAGGCCGACGCTCCCAAACAGGCCAGGGCTTTTGTTTTTGTTTTTGTTTTTTTATCCTCACCCGAGGATTTTTTTTTTTTTTTTGCATTTATCTTCAGATAGAGCGGGAGGGGGAGAGAAAGGGAGAGAGAGAAACATCGATGTGAGAGAGACACATCGACTGGTTGCCACCCACACGACTCCAACCAGGGCTGGGGACAAACTGCAACCGAGGTACATGCCCTTAACGAGAACTGAACCGGGGACCCTCTGGTCCACGGGCCGATGATCTAACTGCTGAGCCAAACCGGCCAGGGCTCACAAAAACATCTTGATCAACTGTCTGTGTACTGTGGCCTAGTCAAGTTGATATTAAGATTAACTATTATACCTACCCACCCATCCCACCTCCTGCCCATTTTTATTTTATTTTGAGCTTTAATTTTTGAATAGATAATTTTCTCACGTGGCTCAAAATTTTAAAAATAATGGGGTTTTGTATTAAAAGTCCTCATTTGCATCCCTGTCACCAGCCTGAAATTTCTCTTCGTTAGAGGTGACCAATCCTATATGTTCCTTGAAGACTCCTCTCAAAATAGTCTATGCAACTATTTGAATAATATATTTTCTTCTTCTTCTTTTTTTAAATCCTCACCCGAGAATATTTTTTCTTTATCTTCAGATAGAGAGGGAGTGAGGGAGAGAGAGAGAAAGAAACATCGATTGAGAGAGACACATCGACTGGTTGCCTCCTGCACTACCCCAACCAGGCCAGGGATTAACTGCAACCAAGGTACATGCCCTTGATCAGAACTGAACATATGACTCTTTGGTCCATGGGTCGATGCTCTAACTGCTAAGCCAAACTGGCCAGGGCTCTTCTTTTTTTATGTATGCTGTTTTGCATCTTCAATTTTCACTTCAAATGGTGTTTGAGAGTATCAGAAATACTTAACCATATAATAAGCAAATAATAATAGGACAATAATAACGTTACTTAATCCCAAGGCTTTGTCATTAATCCAAAGTAGTCTCCAAATCCCTGTGGACAATGCTGACTTCACTAATCATCTCTATTAGATGGTAGTTGACCTGCTTCCTAAGCGTTGCTCTGGTTTCTTAGCCAAGAAAAGTCTGCAAATATCTTTTCTTCTGTGAAGTTATCATATTGAAATCTAAACTCTTCTTTCAGGGTTCTTTGCTTTAAATCCTCTTTACTGACTTTTTCCTTGTAATCCTTGAATGGTGTTCATAAATACTGCATCCCATTACAAACCAGTCCACAGGATAGGAATAACTCACTTTTTCCATTAGGATTTCAGGAGCCATATAACCATTGGTTCCAGCCTGTGAAACCAAAACAAAACAAAACAACACTAATGTGAGTCTACCAGACATTGCTGATTGTTTATCCAATATCCATTCTCCTTTTCTTTCCTTGTTAAGGGAACCCTAATTTATTTGGTGTGGCATTGTGTCAAACCTGGATGTAAGAGAGAAACATCAATCGGTTGCCTCCTGCACTTTCCCCACCTCGGGACCAAACCCAAAACCCGGGGCCTGTGCCCTGACTGGGAATTGAACCCAACACCCTTTGGTCCACAGGATGATGCTCCACCCAACCGAGTCACACTGGCCAGGACTGCCTCTGTTTTAAATCACAGATAATAGGAAATTAGATGCATGATTCTTTTCAGATTGTAAGGTTGAGTACTTTATTGCAAATTTTGAATGTTCACATAATGTTATCTAGTCTGTGATGTTTCTTACTCTATTTGCTATGCACTGATATTAACATCACACATCTTGGTCTGTCTCTGCATTAATAAATTAACAGTCATTTTAATCTAGAAAATCCCACATGTTCTTTCAACGTGCATACCATATATTGTAGGCACACTTCTATGACAATATATACCAAATGACCACTGGGCTTAATAGATATATATATTTAATATTTAATATATATTTTAATTTATATTGGTAAAATACACAGAACATAAAATTTTCCAGCTTAATAATAATAATTATTACTATTATTACTTTTTTGTTAATCCTCACCTGAGGATATTTTTCCATTGATTTTTAGATAGAGTGGAAGGGAGGGAGGGAGGGAGGGAGGGAGAAAGAGAGAGAGAAACATTGATGTGAGAGAGACACATCAATTGGTTGCCTCCCCCATGGCCCTTGACCTTGACGAGGGATTAAACCTGAAACCCAGGTTCATCCCTTTGACCAGGAATCAAACTTGAAACCCTTCAATCCTTGGGCCAACACTCTAACCGTTGAACCATCTTAATCATTTCTAAATGTGTAGTTCAACACCACTGTGCAACGAATCTCCAGAACTCTTTTCATCTTGCAAAACTGAAACTCTAGTACCCATTAAACAGCCATTCCTCAGCCCCTTGCAACTACCCTGCTACTTTCTGTCTCTATGAATTTTAATACTCTAGGTACCTTATATAACTGGAATCAGGCAGTATTTGTCTTTTTGTGACCGTGTGTGATTTTAATACATTCATTCATTCATTCATTCAACAAATATTTAATGCCTACCTACAACATACCTTGTAATGATAAAGTATATATGTACATAATAATGTTTTCCTCCAAACTAAGTTGCTTTGGGTTAAACTATAATGTGTAAACCTCTACAGCAATAAAAAATGCAAACAAGAAACACCTTAAAATATCAATAATCTTACATCAGAGCAGTAAGACTTAGAGCAATAGAAAATTAGATGTATCCACTGTTCCTGTCCTTCAACCAGGCTACTTAACTTTGGAGTGTGTACCTCAAAGAAATGACCCAGAAGAAAGAAAAAGGGATCTATTTCTAGATTTTCTTAGCTCCATTATTCATAATGGTCACAAGCTGGAAACACCCACAATGCCCATCAATAAAGACAATAGACCAGAATCTAGTGTTAATACCAAGAAATGTATATATGTAATGGTTTCACATACTGATTATTCATATGCATTTCAGTACATGAAAAAGGTTGGAAAGCCTTTTAGTATTCATTATGTGATTTTTCCCCCAATTGCTTAAGCATATGTTTTCTATATGCACAGTGTATGTAATGCCTTAGTAATATTAAATTTCTAATAATTTTTACATATATAACAGGAAAACAGTTAAATTACTCAAGCACTAATGAGGAGTAATTGACTTGTGCAAGAAAATTCTGGAAGTGACTGGGGACTGCCAGGCTGGGCATGAGTCAGCACGGCACTGCTGTTTTCACAGAAGCAGTGTGTGCAACGTGTAATTTGGGTGACCATATATTCCGGTTTGCCTGGGACAGTCCCGGTTTACATCTGTTGTCCTGGCGTCTGGTCTAGTTTTGCATTTGCCCAAACAAAAGGGTATTGTAGGCTCCTCTGAGGCCAAGGGTGTACTTACTCATCTCTGTATCCAAAGCAGGTACTTAGCACCTCATTTGGTGCATGCCCGACAAAGCGCTGGTTAGATACACGGCGGTGAAGGTGGTAACGAGATGTTTCCCGTTCACTATGGAGCCATGCCCTGCAGTGAGTCCTGGGGATACCAAGACATATAAGGCTTGGTGCCAGCCCTTGAGAACTTACAGGATGGTGGAGACAGACAGGTCAAAAGGTTAATTCAATAAAGTAGGGTAAATGTCATAATAGGAGTGTAAAGCAAGCACAGGGAAGCCAGAGGTTGTGTGTGTGTGTGTGTATGTGTGTGTGTGTGTGGCTACTTCACCGAAGAGTGACACCTGAGCTCAATCACAAGGGAAGAATCTGTCATACAGAGAAGGCTATCCAGCTATCCACAGAGGGCATATGCAAGAGATTAAGTCAGGAAAAAGATGAAGTGTTCAGAGAACTTAATGATTTGGTATTTCTGGGATATAAGACCTGTGGACTGCAATGGTAGGAGGGGAGATTGGAGGGGAGACATGGATGAACCTGAGAAATACTGTAAGCCAAGGTAGCAAAAGGCCATTCCCAGTTTCCCCTTTCCCTTGTACCCTCTATTATAGAGGTCAGGCAGCTGAGTACTCCACCTCCCAGCATCCTTTGCACCTAGGGTGGTCATGTGATATGAGCAAGGTGAAAGAGCCAAGGGTTGGGAAACAAGGAAGGGAGCTGATGTGGAAATACATAAAAGATAGGATGGATTGATGGATCGACAGAGGGATGGATAACAGATGTAAACTGGGACTGTCCCGGGCAAGTGGAATATATGGTCACCCAAATTACGTGTTACACACACTGCTTCTGTGCCCCTGTCCACTCCCACTGCCTCAGGAGATCCTAGACCTTGTATCGTTCAAAAGTATTTCACTATGAGTCTCTAAAATTAGGGTAAGGTCGCTTTAAAAAACCCAAAACCGCTCGGCTGGTGTGGCTCAGTGGTTGATTGTCGACCCGTGCACCAAGAGGTCGCTGGTTTGATTCCAGGCCAGGGCACATGCCCAGGTTGTGGGACCAGTTCCTGGTGGGGGGTGTGCAGGAGGTGGCCAATCGGTGTTCTCTCTCATCAATATTTCTATCTCTCTCCCTCTCCCTTCTTCTCTCTCTAAAATCAATAAAAAGAAAAAACAAGTAAAAAAAAAAAAATCCAAAACTAAGCACTACAATACCATTATCTCACTTCAAAAATAACAATAATTCTTGAATATTATCAAATATCTGGATATGCTAACACTTTCCCAATTGTCCTATGAATTTGTCCTCTAAACAGTTTGTTTAAATTTGGATTCAAATATAGTTCACATGATGTGATTGGTTGATATGTCCCTTAAATCTCTGTGACTATAGAAGTTCTTCCTTTGTCTGTTACCATCCTCTGCAAGTTTTTATTGGGAAAAAACTGGCATGTGTCCTGACCAGGAATCGAACGGGTGGCCTGCTGGTGCATGGGTCGATGCTCAACCACCGAGCCACACCGGCCAGCTAAATACATTTTGATAATTGGATACACAAACATAAATGCCACTTAAACAAGACATAGAACATTTTAATCCAAGAAAGTTCCCTGTGTCCCGGTCTAGTCCCTTCTCCTCCCCACTTCCCATGCAACCACTTTCTGATTTCTGTCGCCATAAATTAGTCTTTTTTAGATTTCATGTAAGTAAGTTGAACAGTAGTTATATCTTTGTGTTTGACTTTTTTTTATTGTTGACACTATGAAACTATTACAAATATCCCCTTTCACCCCCTTTGTTAATAATGTTTTTTAATAATGTTTTTGAGATTTATCCATGTTCTGCAACCATATTCGTTTTTAAAAATTCAAATACCCATGTTTTCCTCTGAATGTTTCATTTTATAGCAAATGTTCTTGTTTCATGGATGCAATCAATATCTTCTTTTAAATCTCAAAGGATATTAAGTATACGTTTTAAAAAATGGTTTCTTCTACTACCTGCATTGTTTTTGTTTTCTACAAGTTTCTTTCTTTTGCTTTTTTTTTTTTTTTGGCATATTTTACTTTAGAGAGTTTGTTTTTTGAAATGACAACTGATCTTTGAGTATTTGTTCACATGTAAGAGTGGTCACTAAAAAGCTAACAAGAGGCTGGTCAAGCGATGGGCCTCACTGGAGGGCGAGCCTGCCTGGCTATTTCAATGGAGACCTCACCTGTGAGTATCTGTTGACCATTTTTGTGAGGCTGTTTTGTTTCCCCATAGAGATCCTCCCATACCCCACCTGAGAGGTGTCAGCCTGCTCACCCTCGGAATGGGAGCTGAGACGGGGAAGGGCTTGAGGGTCTCCCTGTATGTATTATTTCCCTATCCTCAACTCCCTGTCGGGCTATATGTTCCTATCCAGCTTCTCTCTGGCTCAGTCTCTTCCCCTGGGGTGGGAGAGGCACAAAGAAAGACTGCAGACAGCACCCAGCTGCAGTTCAGACAGTAGTGGCGGGTACATTACACTCAACCTTTATTGTGAACTTGCTCCTTGTGTGGCACCCTTCCAATGAGCAAATTTCAGAGGCGAGTGACTGTGAGGATTAAAATCACTAGGTAGAACACCAGGCAAACATCGATTGCTCAGTATAAGGTGTCAGGTGAACGAGGAGAACATGCCTTGTCCTGAAAAAAAAACACACGCTGGGAAAAAAAAAGAGAAATAATAACAGATGATACTTACTGAGTGCTTATTACATGCTAAGTATTTTCTCAAGTGCTTTACCCGAATTTCTTGTTTAAGCTTTATGATAATCCTATGAGATGGAGACTATTTTATTCCCCATTTTGTAGGTTAGAAAACTGAACCACAGAGAGTTTGAATCTTACCCAAGGTCACCCATCCAAGATTCACACCCAAGCCTGCACTTTATTTTTTGTTTTTTAATCCTCACCTGAGGA